CTGTAGTGCTCCCATTACCTATCGCCTTCTTTTGGTCAGGCGCCAGGCTAGTGCCCTGGGAGAGGATGAAATCAATTGCTACTTCTCCTTCATACGTGTCCCATTATCTTCAACAGAGGAGGAATGTGACGGCAACAAGTGAGGACAAATGGGTGGCCTTATTCTAATCCATGGCTTCGCCACGATTTCGCTGTCAAGAATGATCAAGGGTCAACCTCTTTCCCAAAATCTCTTGTTGCCATTTTTAGTATGATCCTTCTAGCCTTCTGGCCGCTCAGCGTCCGAGTTTCTCGTGACGTGGACTGACAAAAGAAACTATATAAACTCAACTCGAAGAGCGGAATGGAGAGGGGGGGAGAGATGGAAGTTGGTGCAAGTGTTCCAGAATTCGCTGCTGCTGCCGCCAGGCATGGGGTTAGGGTCCCCATTGTAATCCGAATCTTGCTATTTCTATTCGGTTGGAACCGAGGGGTCTAAGCGCTGGTTGGAGCCAGGCTTAGGTAGATCTGGTTGCGGCCAGGTTCTGTTCCGCACTGGTAGAGGTCGGAAGGAACACTTAGACATAGTAAGGACGAAGATGGAGTGTGGACGTTCGGACGGACGGTTGGAACCAGAGACATGATAAATATACCTAGACTGGGCAGGCCAATGGAGAACGCCAGGCAGCCGCACGCCGACTAGAAGGGTCAGCCGCCATCGCTCATGGCGTCAAATCGACCAATAAACACATAGCTTTCCAATTCATGACGTCACACTACACTGAGTTTTGACGCCTTCCACGAAGACCGCGTAGGCCTAGTCTTCAGTGACGATGTATGGTATTTTGAAAATTGATTAATGCCACCTATTCCGTCTTTATTTTCATTGCGCTCAATAATGAGAGGGCGTATTATCAGTTCCCCATGCAGTTAGGCTCAGGGTCTACATGAGGCTGTTCAGCAGGCTATGAAAATTCCGCCGCACCTAAGGTTAGACGCAAAAGGGTCAATAGTTATCAAGCCAGATTCATCATTGTAAGACCTGATACCCAACCCAGTCAGTGGTCTTTCATAGTGTACGAATCCTGAACACATTGACCATGACTACTGTACGCCTCAGTGAATCCCATGCCTCATCCTCTCCTTGACGCCATCAGTAATGGCCGCCAGCCCTTCAAATCGGCGTGAGATCTTCGACTGCCATGTCCAGTCTAGGTATATTTACCGTGTCTCTGGTTGGAACCCTAGCAACCCCTTCCGATTTCGTTGCCTTAGCCGTGATTGTCACTGATGACGAGACCTAACGAACCGTGCTGCATCGAGGGTGTGCAGAATCTTTTGTTCTTTCGAAGGTTCTCTCACTTACCTTTCTCGAGCGGAAGCTGTTTCATTGCTAAGCTATTGAGTTGTGATTAGAGATCTTGTACATTCTTCTGTTAACTCGATGATAAAACGAAACAACACAACGTGAGTTGTGTTGTTTCGTAAATTGTAGACTAAAATAAACAGTTTGTGTGAAACCCAGTCTGTGTAGGAATCCTCGCCTAACGGTTATTGATTCCGTCCTGACCAATACGAACCTTCCCAAAAGGGACAAGTTCTAACATCCTATTTTGTGACGGTGATGGTAGTTTGCTGGTAGACATCGAGGTACCACGACGTACGCGTAGTACTGCACTACCAGCCACGCCAAACGACCGCTGTTACACTATGATACAGCAAGATACATCAAATAACCAGATAGGCCCGAGTGGCTCACGCGCCTTGGCGGCGGAGGAGGGAGCGCAGTTACTGGAGGCACGTGCATGTGCGTGAAGTGAGACCATGCAGGGGATGGGACCCCCCTTCAGCTCGGCTCCATAGTGAGCGGGCATGCTAGAAGTTCATTACAGCTATTCCGCTATTTGGCGATTATTTGTACTTGGGGTAAACGAGAGGAAATCCAGGCTAGCATGAGCTCAAGGCTCAAGCTGCACTTTCTTCCCTTGCCTCTCTCCTTCGACGTAGAGGTGTGCATTCGGCTTTAGGAGAGTCAAATAATATGGCGGAGAGTTAACATCAAAACAAAGAGGAACAACAAAACGAGAGGATAATTGGCAGTACAGATTGAATGGAATTCCTTATATTTTTGCACTTCAGCTTTTCAATATTTTCATTTTTGCCCATTTCCTCCTTTCTTTTCCAGTTACGCTCTTAGCATTCAGCTTTTTCATGCGGAAAAATGTCCCGGTGCGGACAAAGAGTACTAAGGCCTCATTTGGAATCTTGGAGTACTCTCCTTTCAAATGAGAAACCAAATCCGAAATCAAATCCTTGCTCAAGGTGCAGAGAGGCATTGTGGAACAGCTGATCTCTTTATGATGGGAATCACAAGAAAAAGGTTCTAATCAGTGAAGCGGAAATGATTCGAGCAAACAAAGTTCATTGCTTTATTCTGTGTGTTCGGCCACAAGCCGACAGCCATTTCCCTCTATTTCATGTTTTGGAACTCTATGGAAGGTGATGGGAGGATCATGATTCTTCGTGTTTCTCCACATATTTTTGCAGCTAGATAAAATGCACGATTGTCCGGTGCTTTTCCCCATTTGCTCTCTTGCTTTCAAGAGACACAGCAGGTAGACGAGAGAAAATATTTAAAAAAAAAGAGAACGGAAACGAATAACGAGAAATAGATTGTCAGTGTCTAGAGCCTGCGACGCAGGCAGAGCGAGGGTTATAGCCAGAAAGAAACCGACCTCCTCAAGAGCTCGAAGGGGAATGAATGTAGTGAGCGCAGTCACGGCCTTTTATAGCGCAGTTACCTCCACGGTGAGTGAAAAATGCTTTCACGCACCAAGCCACTCTGAAGGGCCTTGATGATACAGTCTGAGAAAAAAAATCAGACTATAAAAGGATGTCAGCCGTCACGGGTTGACTTATTGTCCGACCACATAATATTTCAGCTGTAACCACGTAAGCCACCAATGTCTGACGGACAATCTATGAACACATTCATTTATTCTCCCTCTATATTCAGTTGAATTAAGATGTCTGGTCATGTTATTGACCAAGAGGGCATGACTAGTATGTCCAGTGATGATTCCTTTGTGGAAGTGGTTTCTTCAGAAATCGATGACTGATGGAGAAACTACATTCTCTTCACCTCCTGATCTTAGTGGTTTTGATGATGGAAAAATTTACAGAAGTTATGATAAGGAGGTAGTTAGGACAATCAGCCAGCTGATGAAGACGGTCAACAAGCAGATGACGGTGGCGGGTCTGGAGATTCAGGAAGGAGTATTATGTGGTCTATGATACATTCCAAGGTCGCCAGATAGTTTCCTCCTTCTCAGACATCTATGGGGTACTTGTTGATCGTGATCGGGACACATTCAGTCCTCTTGAAGCTTATGATCTTCTAGTCAATGAAGAAGTCCGGAGGGTGGCGTAGCACCTCGAATTCCATTTTAGCTACGGCATTTCACGCTTACCAAGAGCATGTGCTCTTGGTAAGCATGGTAATAGTAATAAGCTTGGTAATAACTTCCCTCTGCGTTTCGACCGGAGAGCAAATGTATGTTTTGACTGTATTTGGTCGTGATATTTAAACTCAACGGCTTGTCTCTCCGGTAGTCATTCTAGAGATGCCCGCTGGGTCCCCGAAGGCTTTCACCATCCAATTCCCAGTTGTTGATGCTCTCGCTTTTTCCAGTCAAGGACTGTCAAGAAGCGTCCTCTGCTGCGCGTAACAAGACGGGAGACGTCTGACGAAGGTATCTGAATCGTTGTGGAGTGGGAGCTGTTTGGCGCAAGTCTGTACTCGTTGTGCCTTCAACTCTTCCGTCAACAATCGTGGCACCCGGCGGGCAGTAACCTTTCTTAAATGGAGATAATCATGCAAAATCCCTTACAGAAAAATCCTATAGGATCCTATAAGATTTTTGTTTAAAAAATCTTATAGGATCCTAAAAGAACCCTGTAGGATTCCTATAAGAATCCTATAAGACTTTTATGTTTCAAATCTGATAGGATCCTATAGGATCTTTTCGTAAGGGATGGCCCTGATGGAACCAGCTGAGACTCCCACGGCCTGAACAAACTCTTGGAGAGTGATTCGTCCGCTGTTCGGGACCAATCGTCCAACAGCTGCAAAGCTTGTTTCTGCTGTGGGAGTGCTTCGTCTACCAGGTATTACCATTTCTACAGTCAATTGACGATTATCCTGAAAGAATACATCCTCTTGCAGACAGTCTGCGTGGACTGACAGTCTGTGTGGACTATCCAGACCCCACAAACTTTGCTTGAAGCCTGCGAACGATGATGGCGGTCATTCCTCCTCCATAGGAACCATACCGTCTACCCTAACTGTTTATTGTTTGTCACCCTCCATCATTCACTTGCGGAATTGGGAGTACTCACGTAATAGTGCTTTCGATATTACCACTTGCTTAGAATGATTCATTGCACTCAGGATGGCTGTTGATGCCTGAAAAACTGTAAATATGTTGGACAACACAGTGAGGAGTAAATGAAAAAAGTCCAAATACTTTTAGAATGTTCCTGGTATTTCCTTGCCTTCGATATCGGATTGCTTTATTAAAGAAGCTGTTGTAACCCATATCCATACGAGCGTTCTGACTTCTTCAGTTGAGACTTTAATAGAGGTATGCATACCAAGAGAACAAACTGTTTTCTTCACCCCAGCAGGAGTCCAAGCACGGAAGAAATGAAGCCAATTATCAGATCTAGTGCTATAGTAATCTCTCCTACTGCAGCAATCTCGAGGAGATATTTTCCAAGTCAGGTGTTTCATTGAGATTCAAGCGTCACCTCAAGGGGAAAGTCCTTCAGTTCGAAACTTTGCAGCACTTTTGGCTATTTGCAAAACGTATTGAAAAATTGAGTACAAATTCGACAACAGCAAAAGATCAAAGTTCAAATCTTTTCCACTCCTGAAGCACTTCCTGCTTTCCAGTAAGTAAGAGCTCACAGCAGCCAGCTCACCCTTGATTGATTCACTCATGAATAAAAGCAAGAGCAAAATGTGAGCTTTGAGGTTCATTTTTTATTTCAGAAGTGAACAATGATTTATGATGAAGAAGTAAATTTGAAAGCGTGTGGGTAAATATCGCCAAGTGCACCCTCTTCAACCAAAGGAAAGTAACGAAGTTCTCGTTTCAGAATTTAGGCTAGAGGCTTCAAGATAACCATGGGTTATACACACATAGGCAAGTGCAGTAAGAAGAGTAAACGTTGAGTGCAATATTCGAAACCCTCACCATAACGTCATGGCAATGCCATGTATGACTATACATTTGAGTGCATTCATCTGTGCAAAATCCACAAAACGCCTTTGAGTGAATTTTATAACGCATTCGATATTGAGTCGAGGCGTACTCCTTAACCGAAAATCGATATCATGAAGAATATTATCAGGGTTATTGATGATCTGCAAGATTTGGAGTCGTGATGGCTTATTGCATGCTACAAGAACTGAGAGAAACGGGCTTGCCTCATCGGGTCTTTGCTTCGCGTTTAACAGAGCCTGCATTTCCTTGTACTCGTGTTTGGGATGCGATACTTGGTTGACACTAAATATTTATCGGTTGTCGACATCGTTGGATTGCTTCCAAGGTTCATAGGGTCCGAGTACCCTGAACCTCATTTGATTTTGCCAGAGGAAGCCATTTACTTTTGAGGCGACGATCACAGTCGTTCTGGGTCTTTGATGGTGCACCCACGGACTCGAGATTCCTCTGCCTTGAACGTCAACAGATGACTGCGCAGAGAAGCATCCACGCCTGCAAGCAAAAAAAACGAGCCTTTTTAGGAGACATTTAGGAATGCCTCGTTTCGGTGAAACATATTCATGAAAATGGATCGAGATTGGTATTAACCTATGAAACTCATATGCCAGCAGCCATCACAAGTCAGCATAAAATGTAAAATGGGATGAAGTCGAGTTCTTTCTTTCCGCTGCATGAGTATTTTGAAGCGCAAGGAAAAAATGAGGTGGGAGAGCAAATCGATTCTCGTATACAGGATGTCCCAAAAGTCCCTATCTATTTTGTTGAAATAGGCTGAATTTCAAACAAATGGCTCAATGACTTGAATACACGTGTATTTCCATACAAAATACAAATATTATGACAGACCGAAATAAAAAATACACTGCAATAATCTTTATTCAGTAGTTTCCACGTGCACTCCATCAGTATCTCTGAAAATCTCAAATCGGTCTGCTGCATTGTGGAACACATTTTGCGAGCATTTCGGGGTTTATTTTCTGAACGGCCTGCCTAATGCGACCTCGCAGATCTGGTGAATCTCGAATTTTTCTCCGATAAACCTCTGAATTAATGAAACCCAAGGGAAAGAAATCCAAAGGGGTCAAATCCGGAGATCGCGGTGCCCAAGGCCTGTTTCCCTCCACGTCCAATCAAACGATTTGGAAAACGCCTGTTGAGGTATGTCTGAACAATTCTGGCATAATGACATGGTGCCCCATCCTGCTGATGGACTACATCGAGAATACCATCTTCAAGAAGTTGGGGTTCTAGAAACTGTCGAAGCATATCGAGGTAAATAAAGGGGAATCGAGGTAATCAAGGCTTATGAAATTTTCTTGTGAATTTGTCTCTTATCTCGCATTTCATTCCTCTGATGCGACAAGTTACTACCATATCACGTTCCTGCACATTCATCATCAATGATATGGATCTGAAATGAAAAGTTAAAAATAGTTCAGACTCTGTTTGAATATTGCATAGAAATAAACGTGTAATCATATCATTGAGCCATTTATTTAAAATTCAACAAAATAGATAGGGACTTTTGGGACACCCTGTATTTCAGGACGTCCACAGTGGTAAATCTCCTCGCACGATTCCAAGATAAGGTATCTTCAACTGTAGGACTCCCCTAAGGGGGTCCAACAAGTCTCCCGCATGGAAGAAGTAGGAATATACGAGGTCTGGCAATAAAGTTCCAGGACTGATTTTTTTTGTGAGTCTGTCAATATCACAAAAATTATTTTCATTCCATGGACTGATAGATTAGACTGTTGGGCAGTGTTGTGTCAGTCCTCATCTGACTAGCATCTTGAATGAGAGTTTGGCTGGCACTGTAGCAGCTCAGTGTGTAAGGCGTCTGTCATATTCCCAGAGTGAAGCAATGCTTCATCACATTTTGTCTCAAACCGATCAATACAGCTGCATTAATCCATGAAACGTTGCTGAAGTGTCTTGAAAAGTTCCTTGTTATGCTCCAATAATTTTGAATGACCTTCAAGGCCTTTAGCAAGTAGTGAAGACACTCAGATCCACCTCAACCCCAACCATCACCAACCACTCACCCAAGGGATGGCTGAATCAGTCATCATTTTCAATGTCATTCGAACTGGCTGAAAGCCTTGAAAACTATTCAAGATTCTTGGAGTATGACGAGACAACTTTTCAAGACACTTCTTGCAACATTTGATGGATCGCTGCAGCTGTATTCCCGGATTGAGACAAAATGTGATGAAGCATTGCTTCACTCTTGGAATATGACAGACGTCTTACACACTGAGCTGCTACATTGCTAGCCAAACTCTCATTCAAGATGCTAGTCAGATGAGGGCTGAAACAACACTGCCCAACAGTCTAATCTATCAGTCCATGGAATGAAAATTTTTGTGATATTGACAGACTCACAAAAAAATCAGTTCTGGAACTTTATTGTCAGACCTCGTATAAAACTCTTTTTATCTTCCATTATTTTGCTCGTTATATCGTTCTCGATCGACTGCTGGAGTCCTTTTTGAACGAAACGGGATCGATTTTAGAAACTTAGCTTTTCCGAGCAAAATTATTAATAGTTGGTAACACGGGTACAAGCCACGAGATCTGCACCGAGTCTGCCTACCTCGCCGACCGATCAACTTGCATGATTCCTGCGAAGTACAGACCTACGACATAAAGAGCGAGACGAAGAAACGAGAGGGCTCCTCACCCGTGAGGATGAGAGAAGGATCGCCTCGTTGCACGGCCTTCACGAAGGAGTCGATGGTGAAGTAGTCGGCTTCCCCGTGCCCGTAACGACGACGCGACGACTCCGAAGATTCCTGCCGCGAAGGCTTCAACGTGGTCGTCATCCGCGACAGGAAGTCGAAGACGCGGACCTCGGATCCCCCGCTGTAGGTCACTTCTCCCTTGCTTCCTCTTATCCGGATGAGGCGCTCGCAGATACGCTCCGTGAAGGCGACCATGGTCAGCGCAGCCGTGGATCCATCATCGAACTCGAACATCACCGTCTGGTTGTCGCAGACGTCGTTGTCGCATTCGTACACGCACCGACCGTAAGGGCCGTCTTGGATTCTTTCCAGCAGTTTCGTCTTGTACTCTTTACCGGGCAAGTCCTCCACGTCGCATACCACAGACCACGGCCATACGGGAGTGCCATTGCAGGGCTCAAGGTATATCTTCTTGGCCGAATACGGACACGATGTTTCCACTGGACATTCTAGGCATCGTTGTCCGGCTCCTTCTAGCTTCTTCTCTTTCCTGAAGAAAGACCAAGGATAACGGCCGTCATTGGAGTAAAGGGAACAGCTTCTTTAACACCATCGAGGAGAATATATTTCAGATCAATACAATACAATACAATATCAAACTTGCTCAAGTGTAATCGTAAAGACCTTTTGACTTTTTGGAGCTCGATCAAAACGAATTTAATGCAAAAAATTCTAAAACGTCCATGGCTTTTTTCAAGAAATGACAGTAATTCCCAATCTACTCTACCCTGTGCAACAGATAAAAAAAAAGAAGCTGAAGTGATTCGTCATTCGAAGTCTAATTTGTGACATCAGATCCTTTTCGATTATCCTTTTGATGATACGAGGGTCGTTCAATAAGTAAAGACACAAACGTGAAAAAGCCGCACTACCTGGACTTAGAAAAATCATACTTTAGGGCATTTTACTTTAGACATTTGGCAACACTGCCACATATGAGCAGACATCTTTGTTCAGTTTTAAGTGTGTTGTGGTAAGTAGGTAACATGGCTGCCCCTCTGCAAGAATGCACATTGGAAGAGCAGCGTGTTGTCGTCAGATTTTTAAGCGTTGAGGGTGTTAGTGGCACGGAAATGTACCGATTAATGAGTGTTCATTACGGAACAAGCTGTATGAATCGAAGGGACGTCTACAAATGGATCGACCGTTGAAGCACGTCACTGGAAACTTCGACCGGCCGTCCTGAGCGGTGAACATCCTGTANCCCAAGCAACCGGCGGAATGGCCTTGTTGGCAGAGCGTCCGCGTGCCGTCCGGGAGGTTGGGGTTCGATTCCCCAACCGCACCCTACCCAGGTGTATATTGGGAACACACCTTCCTGTCCTCCAGGGGTTCCTAGGCGCTCGGTTCCCGGTTCATTCGAGGAGGATAAGTGAAGGTGTGGGAACTAATGTCATGCATTATTTTTTGCGCTTATATGGGTGACCAGAAAGTCCTGTCCATCAGGATTTTTGCTGTAGCTCCTTTAATATTTGCCGCTGAACAGATAAGACTCCTTCAGCAACTGAAGGAGCACAATAGTCTTAGCAACACAACAAAATTACACATTAAAAATGACCACCCCTTGCATCTATACAAGCCTTAAGACGGTGCGGGATAGTCATCGACAACTTCATATAGCTGTTTTTCGGTGATCTCATTCCACACTTTCAGAATAGATGCTTTCAACAAGTCCAGATTTGCATGTTGTGTTGCAGAGACCTTCTTCTCCATTATAACCGTGACTGCGTAATCCAGCAGATTTATATTCAGGCAAATTCGAGGGGTAAGCATCTTCATCCCAAAACGCAGGAAGCAACTGTCTACAAAGTGCTTTCGTGGACTTTGCTCTGTGTGATGGCACCCAGTCCTGCTGAAGTGTCCACTGGGCTTCTCCGAAATGAGAGTCCACCCATGGCTTCAGCACATCCCAAAGGATGCATTCCCAGTAGATTTTTGCATCGATTTTGGCCCCTTTCTCAACGAAGACAAGTGGCATCTTTCCACTTGCGGTGAATCAACCCCATACCATCACAGAAGCTGGGAACTTCTGCCATGTGACAAAAGCTGCTTCTGGACGCTCCTTCAAGTTTTTGGCAACAGAATCCGGTCATTTTGGACATCGAACGTCTGTTTTAGGGTGAAGATCTTTCCGTCTGTGAAGATGACATGACGATGTTGAAGAACACTGGTCAACCGCTTCAGCTTCTTCACTTTTGCCAGTCAATTCTTCATCATGGCCTCCATTAAATGATGTCACTTTCACAGCTTGTATGGGTGATATCCAAGAACCTCCTTACACCAAATTCAAGCTGATTCTTGCTTCAAACCGGTGCTGCGGGCCAATTCCTGCATAGTCTGCCTTGGTTTTCACCGAATTATGCTTTTTAGCTTCATCCGGTTTTCAGGAGTGTTGGCGGTTCGCGGCCTTCAACTTCTTGGACGGTCTCCTTCATGCCACAACTCCTTGTAAGGGTTAATGGCCGAGATCACAGTTCTTCTGTACGCACCAAGTGTCTTTGCGATATTATTTGCCCTCATTTTTGCCTCGTGCAAACGGATGCTGGCAGAACGCATTTTCTTATCCATCAAACAATACAAAAGAGTGACGCTACAGAAATGAAACTTTTCACACACATAGACAATAATGTCAGGAAGCAAAACTGCATTAAAAGATTGCTAGGGCTTTTTATTTTATTTATTTAGTTAAAATTATGGAACAAAAGTGGACAGGACTTTCTGGTCACCCTGTAAGTGTGAGGGAAAAAGTGGAAGTGTGTCTTCTCCATTGGCAGCATGGATGAATTAAAGTGGATACTTTTTGCTAATTCTATTTTACATTTGAGTTATTTCGGAAATTTTCCGTATTGAAGCAGCGCTTTTCGATGTAGCGCCACCCCCAATACAGCGTCAAAATCGACGAAGACAAACAGTGGCGGTATATCGAGAGTTGACTGTATTTCTTATGATTGGTCTCTTTCCTCCGAAAACCCCCAGAAGTGGCTACCCAGGGGGGGGGGGGGAAGGAAAATAAAACGAGATTCAGTATTCTCCACAGTCCCTGGGTCCTCCGAAAACCCCCAGAAGTGGCTACCCAGGGGGGGGGGGGGGGGGAAGGAAAATAAAACGAGATTCAGTATTCTCCACAATCCCTGGGAGATGGAGCTTCAAATTAGCTGGAGCGATTCTGTGGTAAGAGAGGAAGAAGTATGCCAAATTTCGTTCCGTTGATGCTCTCAGAGAGGAATACGAGTAGGTTGAACTTTCCTGCGGGAAGGGGTTGAAGAAAGGTAATAGGTGCTACTGCGCCTATTGATTCTATAGGAATCCCATAGGAATCTTAAAGGATTTTTACGCTTCAAAAATCTTATAGGATCCTATGGGATTTATCTGATAGGGCGAGCCGAAAGCTGATCTTCACCCAAAGAAAGTCATGCTTTCACTTTGGTTCGATGTTCACGGAGTCATCTACTTCAAGCTGCTGCCGGACAGGGCCACCATCACCGTTGTCTCGTACTGCGCTCAACTGGAGAGACTTGCGGCCAAACTCAACGAACAGCGCCCAGGACGCAAGAAGGTATACTATCTTCACGACAATGCACGGCCATACACAGCCAAGCAGACCTGGCAGAAGATTCTCGAGTTAGGATGGGAGCTGTTACCCCACCCAGCGTACTCCCCAGACATCTCCCCTTGCGACTACCTCGTCTTCAGGAGCTTGCAGAACCACTTGGATGACAGTTGGAAGAAGTTCGATGACAGGAAGCACCTCAAACAAGACCTGGCACTCAATCTTTGACTCCAAGCCTCCTCCCTTCTACGCAGAGGGCATCCACGCTCTGCCCCAGAGGTGGCGACATGTCGTGGACCACGATGGTGCTTATACTGTAACGTTGACGTTGTTATTGTATAAATAAATTTGTTGAGAAATATAAGCATAAAAAAATGAAGACTTTTGCATCAACCCAATACCTACTGACCACAACACACTTAAAACTGAACAAAGATTCTTGCTCATGTGTAGCAGTGTTGCCAAATTTCTAAAGTAAAATGCCCTAAAGTATGATTTTTCTAGGTCCAGGTAGTGTGGCTTTTTTCACGTTTGTATCTTTACTTATTGAACGACCCTTGTACAATTTTCCCAGTTCTCCTGATGCAATCATTGGCTTGTCAGGAAGGGGAGAATCTTTCTCGAGTCCCAATCGTTTTTCTTCTACTCGACGGTATTTGAGGTTTCGGCTGCTTTTGAAAGGACTCGTATGTGACATACCCCGATCCAGGTTCCCTTCGAAGACTTCCCAAGTTCATCTCCAACCGAACCGAAATTTTCAGGCCCGCATGCATACGCGTACACATTGCTAGCATATTCAAGACGTCATCGCAGATACGCCTGGATTTCCTGCGGATGAACTACTCTCTAAGCCAGGACAGTTTACTAGAAAGAAACCCTGGAAAGGATGCAAGACGTGGTGTTTCTTCTGAAGAACATGGTTGCTCCATTGAGTCTTAGTAGCTGTGACATTCTATGTTAGGGAAGCAGGATCTCAGATATCAAAAACTCAGGCATCCGAAACTGTTATTGGAAAACCTAAAAAAAAAATAGTACCTTTAATTTTAAAAGTCAGATTGCTCTGTTGTTTTCCCACAATCTGCATGCAATAGAAACTGCCCTGTCAAGCTTCGGCTTGGAAGCAAGCTGAGCGATTTTTTGTCCTTTTCCTTTACTTTGAATCCATCACTTGTAAACTGGTTGATGGATGCTAAGCAATCGCAACTTGTGGAACCTAAAAATTGCATGCAAGGCAGTGTAAATGTGCAAAAAAAAGTCGAAACCTCGCGCATCCAAAAATGTCTGATATCCGAAACCCCTTCCCCCGGGTTTATTTCGCAAATGCGAGGTTTCGCTCGTTTTTTAAATTTATGCAGAGTATCTCGACACGTCTGACCTCATGGGGTTCGACCGCCATTTCTCCTGCATATTTCGAGATTGCATCGACGTCATCGATAGATCTGCCTTCGAGGCTTCAAGCCTTGATTCCATGATAGGGAGAAAACCACAAAAGCGAAGGACGGAGGGTGACTGCTTGACTCTACTGCGTCGAGTAGAGCAATGCGTCTGCATATTTGCATATGGGTCTTTGGGTGGCTTTTCCGTGGATGAGAAAACACAGTAAGCAAATTTTCGAAACCATGATGCATCTATGACGTCACTGAAAATTTCGTTAGATACATTCAAACCTGGAGTCCTCGGCAAATAACTTTGACTTGCTTTTAGAACCCACCCTCATGACATGTAGCGATGGAAGTGCTCCCACCACGCAGGGCCGTTTCTAGGCATATTGGCGCCCAGGGCAAGGAGTTCTAATGGCGCCCCCCCCCCCCCTTCCTCCCGCAGGCGGGAGGGGCGATCGCCCGCCCCTAGAAACGGCCCAGAATGACATCCATTCATCGATGGATGCACAAGGACAGTCTTAATTTTTTCTTATTGCCACTGAGAATCATTTGCCAAGCACGTCGTTTTTTTTTTCTCTCCCTCTCTTTTTCTTCGTTCTACACGGTCTTCTTTGGACATCAGCACCGGCAGAGGACAAATCTGCCGATGGTGCCATACCGGCATGCCGTTGCCGAAGCATCGGTAAAGTCCTAGATTCAAGCGACGTCCATGTAGAAAATTCACTTTGGGTCAAGTAAAGAGGTAAAATGCCCCAGGGCAAGTTAAAAATAAACAAAACTTAAACCTGCATAACGAAGAGAAAGACAGGAATGTAGAGAGGGGGATTAACCGATGTACGTTTCGAAGTCAAGGTATAACAGTCCCCTTTCACGGCATGCACCTCATGAGATCGAGCCGAAGACGGAACGAGAATAGAAAAAAATATATTCTGTGTTCCCTCCCTCTCTTTTTCCCACTTCCTGTCTCCGATTCCAACATTTTTGTTTTTTTCTTTCCTTCTTTCATACAGTCAGTCCAAGCAATTCCAGAAATTGATCGTGATGAGAAATGAGATATTGCTCGCTCATGCGCGTCACGCCGCCTCTTCCTTTCCCCGTCCGGACTGTATTGTACCGTACTCGTCTCGATCCAAAGGGGCATTTCCCATCAGACATTTTGCGCATGCATCGCGATGGTCGAAAAAACGATCGATTCTTCCAATCAACGATAGTGGTATCGATGCATCGACATATCATGACAGCCCTACTCGATACCCAATGCCCAGTTGCAGTGTGGCATCATGCCGCATATACGAGGGAAAGGTTGGGGAGGGGGCTTCTGCCCGATTATGAAACTGCCATCAGACTCACCAGTAAGCGGAGGTGGGAGGCTGCACGGCTTTACTTGAAATATCATTAATAATTAAATTTTTCTATCGTCCCGATTAGTACTAGTTCGCATAGTGGACGATAACCACATTTTAAAAAATGCCTGTTTTATTATTGTGTTTCTTTTCGCGGCGCCCCCCTCCGCTGGCGCCCCGGGCGATCGCCCGCTCGGCCCGCCCCTAGAAACGGCCCTGCCACCACGATGGTGGTATTCCCAGGGTGAAGGGAGCCCATGTGTGGACGTCGGAACTCACTTGAAATGATGAAGGGATCCAAACGACGAAACTTTCGTGCAGGTCTTCCCTTCCATGATGTGCAGGATGAGATCCACATCGTGGCAACACTTCGTGAGGAGAGTGAATGAACTTTCTTCCTCTTTCCTCCAGTTACCTGGAAATAGAGAACGATCCAGGTAGAACAAGCTTCACCGAAAGGACATCATTTGGAATTTCCCGCAATCTTTGCGGAGGTTTACGTGAAGAGGATCCTCGAACGACGCGCACTTCCCGTGCGACGAGTTCGCAAGGCTTCAGAAGGGGCAACCCTAGCCGATGAAGTTGTCGTAACGCTGAGGTTCCTCACGTCAGTTGAGGAACGAGCAGGCACCATCATTTAAACAGATGTGAATGACTCTCGAAGGTAATTCAAAGCAGGCAATTTAAAACCGAAATCCGACGTTTTAACCCATCCACTGACCTAGCCGTCGAATCGACGGCCGGTAAGCCGATGGACGGTAAGCGGATGGGTGAAAGCAAATTTTCTTTCGAGAAGGTTCAAAAAACACTGTCCAATAAAGCTAAACGTGAAATGACGCCAAATGAACCTGCAAGAGAATGAGGTATCCGGCTGCCGAGTTACTGCCAACACGTACGACTCTTACTCTGCTTCGAATTGGATTTCCGCACTGAACATACGTCGAGGGTGTAAGCTGCTCGCCGATGTGAAAACGAAAGCGGTCGTCGTGCTTCATCGTACCTCTGACGAAAGAGTGGGCGAAGTGATAGAAGCCAACCGGCTCCGTCTGTTCCACGTTCACTATTTCCCCGATCTCTCCAGAATCCAACACTTCCTTCATGAGGGCGATGGGTGGATCGTACCTGCGATCACGGTAAAGAAGAGCATTTCGTAGATCGAACGTTCGGCTCGCCGGGAAGTCAGTCTTTTCGATGGAGAATTCACGAGAACCGATTTATTCGAAATCTGCGAACTGGTGTAAATGAGGTTCGTCCACTCTATCGAGCGATAAAGAATTTCACGTTGCCAAAGGTCTGCCGGTAGTTACGGTCGAGTTTTTGTTGGGAACTCAAGAATCGGGAGATGGGTGTCTTACCCTTCCCGACTCGTTCACTCGCGGGACTCAGGGACTCGTTCGATCGCGAAACTCCAGTTCCTCAAAGCGACTCATTGAAACTGAGCTTAATGAATTCATGCTTTAGACAGGCGCAAAACGGCATCCTCGGCGAGTGCGAGACGTTTAATTGCGACGCAGCAAAACCGTTTCCAGGGGTACAGGTTCGCCAAGTAAGGCGTCATTTTCGCTCTACAGTACAGTAGATAACGTCCGATATCGATTTTTTTTTTTTTTTAGTGGGGATGGAACGGTGAAGTCAGTGGGACCAATTTCAACGCCGAAGATCAGTCATGAATCATGATCAGTCCCCATGAGACTTCGTACGTACTATTTCCATCTCCAAAAAAGTGTACAAAATTTAATTTTTCTTTTCGAAGAAGGACGAGATCTCGAATGAGGTCATTTTCGAGGGAATGCCACAGCAGTCGCCGACGAGACTCACCTCAAGATGTGGCACACGGCGAGCATGACCTTGTTTCTGCGACAGGCTTCTCGAATCTCGATGCAATCCTCGAGAGAAGTCGCCATCGGTTTCTCGAGCAGTATGTGGTATCCGAGATTCGCGCACGCCACGGCTGGGCCTTTGTGCTCGCAATCCGGCGTGGTGACGATCGCACAATCCGCCAGTTTCCCACCGGCAACTGCATCCTCCCAGCCGGAGAAGATCCTATCGGAACGAAAAGGCGAAGGTCTGCAATCGTCCGAGCGAGGCGAGGCGAGGTTCCTTCGGTTCCAACAGCGTTCTCCTTCGCTCTTGCGGGAAATGACATTTTAAAAAGTGAGGGAGAACTGGAACATCCTCGACTCGATGCCGGCTACACCCAAAGCCACCGTCGTCACCGCCGACGTTAAAGTTTCTCGCGATGCAAGGAGGGAGAGAACTGACATGTTAGCCGGTATGTGGAAGGTCTTCGCCATGTATTCTCTTGCAGATTCTCTGACGTCGGAGGCCGCAACGACCTTCAATCCGTCCGGGCGGTCCAGAGCATAGCAGGCGTAGTTCCTTCCACGTTGGCCTGAAAATCAAAATCACGTTTTTTCTAGATCGCCTTTTTCGATAACCCCGACTCGAAATCGAGCCAACGGTCGACCGGATGTCGTTAATCGATCCCGAGTCGAGTCGGCAATCTTTTAACTCGTCTCATTCGGCTCGGGATCGAGTCGGCGGGTTTCCAATCGTCTTAGCCCACACGTGAACGATTTCTCGCCTGACTTTACTCGACTCATCGTCGACTCATCGATCACGCGGCGAGGTAGTTTCAGTCGAAAAATGTTGAAAATGTTAACGGTGAATAGGTATCGAAAACGAGAAATATCTGTCATCGGGCATGAAGTCAAAATTATAATCGGGTCTGATCTGGAACTAATTTTCTTCCGTACGCCATGGATGAAGGGAAAACGCGAACGAACCCTTGGGAAATTCGAGATTTCGGTCCTATGTATGACTGGAGGAAAATGGCGGAAAACGTCATCGGAGCACATTTTCTTAACTTCATCACCGTCGCCATTCCGTCCGCATAGCAGTGACGTCGTCGTCGCGTCGAACTCCCTCGATTCGGCACGCGATCGCCATCGTTAGCGAAAATCATCTGCTACTTCGACACCGTTCACGCTGTCGTCGACGGGCAATAAAACGACCTCCGTCGAAAATACCCGGCGAAACCCTTGCTCTTCGTTCCGGATTCACCGATCGTATGAACTCTCTCGTTTCCATTTCCTGGATGGCGAGATCGGGCGCGGCGTCTCACGATTCCATTCCGAGACTCGATGGCGATTTGGAAACCCTGGAGCCGAGAAGCGAGATCCCGCGGGAGGATCCCATCGCGACGACAGACGACCCTTTCTTCCCAAAGTTCCTTTCCGCGTGCTGATTCCATCGGAACATTTTTTTCCACGTCTCCGGTCCTTCCGTTCGATTTCTGCCTCGAACTTTCCGAAAAGACGAAACGCGTTCCTCGAGGAAAGGAACGCTTCGTTTCGAGGAGCGTGCGAATCGTCGAGAGCATTTCGGCACGGTCGTGCAAAACATCGGACCGTGGACTCACCTGCTCCGATGACGAGAGCCGTGACGACTGCCATCTTCGATCCCCAAACGAGGTTCTTGGCTCGAACGAAGCCGGAAGGGAGGCGGCGTAAAACCTGCAATAAAGCAACGTTCAAATTTCTGGGAGAAAAATCATTTTCATCATCCCGTTAGGTGCATCTTATCGTTAGCGAGCGGAAGACTCGCGCCGTTAGCAGCTCTCTAAACCGGACGATTCGCTTCGACTTCTGGAAATAAAAGCACTGGTGTACCCAAAAAATTTCACGGGATTTCGCGACGATTCGAACGGGTGTCTCGGAAAATCGGGAGTCGTAACGCGTGAAGCCGTCGAGCTCGACGATCGAACGGAAGACGACTCGGCTCGACGCTCGCCGAGCGACCCTCGTCAAGTCCTCGCGAAGCGATAAAAGTCGCGCCGAAACCGAAGGAAGGCAACGACGACGAAACGAGATTTCGGCCAAAATTCCCGGAACCGTCTACCGATCGAGACGAATCGAAGCGAGTTCGTCGATGCGAGTCGGATCGGAAACGCGAACGAACGCAAAGTCGACTTCGACGACGTGGGAGATCCGCTCGGGTTCTTCCCGACCCGGGGTTGTTCCCCCCCCCCCCCCCCCCCCCCCCCCCCCCCCNNNNGATCCGCCCGGGTTCTTCCCCACCCGGGGTTTTTCCCCCCCCCCCCCCCGTCATCCCCCGCGTCATCCCCCCCCGTCCGAGCTCGGAACGACCTGCGTGCATTTCCCCGAAGGAGATTCCCGTTCGGACTCGCGAAACCACGCGTCGATTTCGCGACGGACGTTTCCCGACGACACCGGACCGTGTACGCTTTTGGAGATCTCGCTCTCCTTCCCGTCCTGCCGTCTCTCGCGCAGAGTCTCGCGAAACGGCAATTTTCGCTTCGGCCGCAAGGAGGCCGCTTCTCGTTTTCGCTCCTCCGCAAAGCGATGGGCAAACCCATCGCGAGATCCCGTCGCGACGGCCGGTTGCCGATCGGTGGCGAGAACTCACGCACGCGGATTCCTCTCGGCTCGATGCGGATGGGTTCGCGTTAGGTCGACGACGCTCCTCCCCCGCCCTCTCTCTCTCTCTCTCTTCCTTCTTCGCACCACGACGAGAAGTTCCTTCCCGAGAACGGAGCCTGGTCTCTTCCGAGAAAAATGCGACCGAGATTCTCTGCGGAAAGACGGAGCTCCTCTCGCGAGAACGCGACGCGGAAACCGTCTTCGTCGTCCGCCCGTCTCGACTCTTCTCGCTCGGAAAACACGGCCCGAATCGGGCGTGTCGTCGTTTCCTCTCCCGAGGATCCCGAGCGCTCCGGATCGCGATCGTTAAACCTTTGCTCGTTGCTTCTTTTGAAAGTCTGCACACGGTGCAATAAAATTCGACAGGAAGAACGGGCTATCGGGAGGAAACGAGAAGGTCGATTTAAAGTCGATACTTTTTTATCATCGAGAACGAAACTTCAATTTATTTATCTTTACATTAATGGAATGGAATGAAATGGATACCCCTAATCGAAAGGCATGTTTATTTTGCGCATTCCCCGCTATTATGCCGAACCCTGGGACACGCTATGGATAAACGAAGTCAAGAGCAGAGTAAAAGATCCGGAGGAGCAGTGGCGTAGCGAAGGGGAGACTGGCGGGGGGGCTGAAGCCCCCCAAGTTTGGTTCAAGCCCCCCCAACTCCGGTCTAAATGCATCCGCGCCCCCCCCCCCCCC